TTTTCTGTACAGTTTATAAAGGGATAGTTTTATCGCCAGTACATGTGTTTGGGAAACCCAGTTTTTGAAATATGTGAGGCAGCGTTGTGGAATCAGGCTCTCGTCAAAATAATGAAATCGAAGAAAACAGCAGTTTTCTCCCTGCTTAGCAATTTTTATCAAATTTTTGTCTTTTGGCTCAACACCTTTTATGTCCATTTACAAAAACACATTCCTTTGAGGATTTCACGGACAACGTTTATTAAAGGCACAAAAATATAAATTTACAAGTTCCATGGACTCTCCAGCTTTAGAATTTACCAAGCTTTGGCGGCCATTTTCTTGCTAATTTTACATCTTAAACCAGGTGACCCCCACCTCTTTCAATCCAAAATATTTCAACTTCTATTGAAGATGGATGGGTAATTTTTTCATTGAAAGCAAGACAAGTGAATAAGCTTTAATATGATACCAATAACTCAATGTGCCCAAAAATTGACGAGAGCTTGATTCCACCACGCTGCGTCACGTTCAGATCTTTACTTTGTTAGGTCGAATTAAGTATCGTTAAACGTAGTGTTATTCCTCCGTAATTATTGTAATTTTCTGTACAGTTTATATAAAGGGATAGTTTTATCGCCAGTAAATGTGTTTGGGAAACCCAGTTTAAAAAAAAAATATTATGGCCATAACTTATTCGAGAGACTTTATCGTCGACATTGTGCCTACTGTATTAATGAGTTGTGCTTTCAATTGTTTAGGAAAGTCAATTTTCAAAAATATAATATTAACCCTTTAGTGGGAATTTTGCCTCAGTTTTGAGTCTATATTATTGTTTCTTTTGTAAGAGTGGGATCAGTTGAAGGGAATTCTATTTCTACAATTGTTGTCTTTTTGTCATCGCTTATAGCCTCGCGCTGAATTGGAACTCTTGAGAAAGATAATTTTACCTGCTCGGGGATAGTCGGTGAAGTTTATCTTGTGTCTTATGGTGCTTAAGATTGTGCGTATTTGACGTCATCATCTGTATACCTGCAAAGTGACGTTATCACCACCTGTACACCACACAAAGTGACGTCATCATCTCCTGTGCATCCCACAAAGTGACGTCGCCATCACTTGCACGCCACACGCATAGTGACGTCACCACTGTCCGTAGACCAGCAAGGCGTTCTGGGATAGCCGTCATGGTCACAGCGCCGAGTTGTTCCTGAGAGGAGGACGTTTGTGATTGGTGCTTGAGGGGACTGGCCGAGTGCGCGGTTGCCATGGCAACCAAGGTGATTTACTTCCTGGTCAACGGTCGCGAGGAGACGGCCGAGTTCAACAGCGATGACGACGCCGATGACGTCAGAGGTGAGTACTTTTAGGGTTTGTGTGTTTGTTGGGGGTATTTGTTATCTATACATATTATATTTGTGAAAATCCGTCACTTTCGCCACCTGAAACTTCCCAACTACTTAACTTTTGAATCTGAAAAAAATTAAAGGTAATCTGAAGTCACTGTAGACCTGGATCGCAAACAACATAACAACAAGTCACTGTAGTTTACTTTTCAGTTTTTCATTAGTTCGTTTAGATCTAATCTTGAGAAAGTCCGTCTTCTAAGACGCCATTGTAAACAAGTGAGGCTTCTGTTCACAAAGAGTGTGTACACTGATCCCACAATGACTTGACAATCGATTCTTTTGAGTCCGTTCGTCGAACGGGAAACCAAAGAGTCTACATAACAAGAGGGACCACTTCTCTCTTTGAGTCAATTAAAAAAGTGTCCTCAAACTTCGATGGCGCCCTCTTCGCAAAAGTGCACCTTTTGCGAACAGAGTTACCCTACTGGAGTTTAAAAATCAAAGTGAAACTAGAAAGTTTTTAAATAAAT